CTTTCTTCAACAAACTTGATCTATGGTAGGGCTGCAGAAGCCTTCTATCAAAGAGGACTTTATGTCCCAGACTGCCCCACCCAGCCTTGGGACTCTGGAGGTTGCATTTGGACCATGATGTTGCATTACCACTGATGCTTTTTCCCACCATTGATTTGTCCAGTCCCTTTCTGAACACACACTTCTGGCCTCTGCAATACCCTGTGACAATGACTTCTACAATGCCATCGCATACTGCCTACTCCAGGCTCTCCTTGTTTCTCTTCCCTACTTGAATTCAAACAAACAAGCTCTATCCATACACTGTCTTTGGCTGCTACTCCAGAACAAGTTGCAGATAAAAAGCAATGCCTGGACCGACTGATGTGTGCTGACCTGCTCGGGCAGCCACAGCCCTCTTTGCCCTCGTAACGGCATGGACACAAGGCATGGGCAGTCATCATAAAAATGCTACCGAAGACTCTCCCATTTTTAGCACCTTGATTTTGCTTTGGCCTCCGGTTGTGTTGGACCCCAAGTGTATAGCCTGTGCCATTTCATGAGCTATAAGCTAACACCTCTCTCTACCACATAAGCACCAACACGAGAACCTGGCCTTGGGGTTGATTTGTGGATACAGGGAGCGGGGCTGAGGACTGGGACAGGTTTTAACCTGACCCCTACCTGGGCTGCCCACAGATAATCAAGACATTGTCTCCAAGCCCCCTCCCGACCCTGCCATGTCCACAGCTGGCAGGCAGGAAGGGCTTCATCACCACTGAAAAAACGTGCTTCCTCACCTTTATGGGTTCCTTTCAGAGCACTGTAGAATGACATCATCACCAAAAAAAGCCAAAGTGACCCAGATGGGTGGTTAACTCTCCACAAGTACTACAAACCAGGAGTAGGAGGCAGTAAAATCATAAAGGATGAGAAACTTTTGTGCCTTGTAAGGTGAGGATTGACATGTGGGAGCTTCCTCGCCTGCTGCTGCCACCTGGCCGGAGGTGCTGTGGCTCTGTGACCAGAGGGTGGATGTGCAATGGTGACAGCAGCAGCAAGAAGGGGCCAAGGGGGCTGGAAAGAGGGCAGACAGAAAGCCAAGGAGGCAGCAGGTCTGGTGGCTCTGAGAGCTGGGGGATGAGGAGGTAGGGAAAGGCTGTAGCTCCAGACAAGAAAGATTTTCACTTCTCTGGTGACTTCACAGGCTCAGGACCCAAAGTGGCCACAGAGCATCAACAACAGCCAGCCTAGCGTGGACACAAGTGCCTGCCAGCCCTTACCCTCCTGGCACTGCAGCTCCTGCCGTGGTGGAGGTAACACCTCGATGCTTGTGAGCATCCAGTGGCAAAAACTAGGCTACACCAGCCGAGGAACAAGGTCATGAGAGCCCCAAGCCAAATCTGCTGAGACGTGCTGGCCTAGGTTTTGTACCAAATGTTCTGAGCTTTAACACGTGTTAGCATCTCTTCTTCCTAATAGCTTTCCCTCACATTTCTTCTCTTCCAGCACTGAATGTGTAATTCAGTCACGCGTTAACCTTTGTGTCTGATTCCTGATCTGCTGTTAAAATCTATGTTAATTCCTTAGAATCTCACAATTTTTTCCCCAAGAAAATTCTGAGCAGTTCTGGGATTCCTGTACCCGCAGACGCGGTAGGTAGCTAACATGGTCTGCTCTCCAACAGCTCAGGCTGCATGAATGGTCTAATTAACACCTCATCAAACTCAACTGTTGGTTGTGTCTGGAGAAATTCCCTCTTGCACCTGTGCGTTCACAAGACACCATTTCTAGCCTCCCGCACAGCAGGCCCCAGCCATCGGAGCAATGCTCTGTCACTGCAGAGCCCATCCTTACATCAGCAGTAGCGGTCCTGGTCCAGTCTCCTGGACTTGCCAGCCCAGAGTGACACTGATACACTCTGTGGCTACTCTGAGCCATTGCACTGTGCAGGGTGGTGCAAGAGCTCAGGAGCAATAACTCAGCAGTGAAGGGTGTGCAAAGCCCGTGCTGCTGCGTTTCAGGCAGGGCTCTCCTCCCCTCACCATATCCTACCTCCATCATCAGAAAGTGCATAGGTTTCACCCAGCACAGCTCAGTGTCACCTGCCTAAGGACAGCCTTTGCAGTGGGACAGCGTGCACACACCCCTACATGCCGCAAACCTTCAGGTGCCTGATCTGCACTCATCATCTAGCCTGTCTAGCAGACCCCAGAGAAAGGTGGCGCCCCAGGAGGGGTTCATTCCCACCCTGTCCTGGAGGACAGGCCCTAGGATTGGGTCAGAATGGCCCTGGAGGTGTCCATCTCCCACCACTGAGACAGACAGAGCCTGGTGCACAGCAGAGTGCAATGCCCAATTTGTGTCGACACTACCATTATTGCAGGACAAGGTTTAAACATAAAGAATAAGTTTAGCTTTGTTGCTTGAGATAATGGTTAAACAATAGACTACAATGTTTGGAACACAGAGCATGCAACAGGAAAATGTAATTTTAGGTAATACTTCACAATGAGACTATTCTGAATGTTTCAGCACCTCAGGTAACTCTAGAAGCTTTCCCTGGAGAACATCTAACTCCAGCTTCTACTGTCAGAGATCACACTCCCTGGGCCTCTTTGAGCTCTCCTTTCTCACTTCAGCTTGTTTCCATTATTTGCCCCCCCCAAATCCACTTCCTCACTTTGTGTAATAGGGCACTGCTTGCCTGGCAGACTAATCCACCCATCCCGACTTCTGCGCTGGGGTGTATCATCTCTTCCCTCCAGCCTTACTTAACACTTGAGTCATAATCTTCCACTTGGCATATCTCTTCCTATCTGGTTGACTTCTGCTGTTCATCACATTTTTTTAAAATAAGAGCAAAACTTTGCAGATTTCACATCATCGGGACTATTAACTGCACACACTTTATTTGCTCTAGAGCCTTCATCCTACTGCGAGCACTATGTAGACCACTCACGGTGGTCTAGCAAGGCAAGCAGCAGGCTTGCCATTGAGAGCATCTTCCTAAATTCCTTCTCCTTTCTCCTGCTTGCTGACTGTGTGGTGCTCATTCAGGATCCCCAGAGGCATGTCCTGGCTGTTACAGCCCCAGGCACATGCTCAGCCACATCCCATTGACTAGTTCTGCGATGCTCCTGCAGAAGGCAGAGCTCTCAGTAGCACTAACCGAGTACTGAAGAGACCTCAGGGAGCTGCTGGGAATAAAGCTCACGCTGTCAAGCAGCTTAGGCACTGGGGTTTATTTGTTTGTCTTTTTGCAACTCCATTTCCAAATACTGCAAATGAGCGTTTAGCCCTTTGTCTTTGTGTAATCAGACTTGTTCCTCCTCTTTACACCCTGCCTGGTAATAATGGGGTCTTTATGTGGAAAGACAAGCAGCTCTTGTCTCACAGGACCCCGTGGGCTTTAAGGCCATGCAGGCACGTGCCACTCGCCATGAGCTGCAGACATCGGGGTTTGGAGTGCAGGACGCAAAGTTTCTTCATGGGAGAGAGAAATCACTTTGAGCGCCTGTGGACCAGCATCACCCTGGCAGGCAGGGATGGCAGCAGAGAAACAGCATATAGCTTGGAGAGTAGGCATGCTCATTACAGCTCTTTCAGACCAATGTGGGGGTCTGGAGAGCTCCCACCGTCCCATCACCAGGGCTGCTCAAACCCTAGCTCTTACCTTCCTTCCCTTTCATTCGAGATGGTGTTTCTGCCATCCTCTCCATCAGATTGTACGCTACAGCCTCGCTCCCGGGGTCACCGTCAGTCAGAGCGTGGCTCCAGCAATGCAGAGCTGCCGGACCACCCTGGCCGTGCGACTCAGCTCTTCCGACCCCTCTTCCCTGGGACCTGGCTGCGGCGCACGAAGGGCAAACGCAGCAGTAGGACTTCCCTTTCTCTAAGAGCTTCTTGGCTCTCATCCCTGTTGTTTTTCTTACTCAGCCTGCTCCTCCCGGCGCTAAAAGATTTCCTGCTGATCAAGGCTACTACAACATCTTGTAACTCCCCCCGCACCGTACCGAACGCCGGGGCTCCGGCGAGCGATGCGCCCATGTGGCATCGGTGGCAGCCATGGTGTGGGTGCAGGGGCTGCTCCCCCACTTTCGTCAGCGGGAGGGATGCTGGCATCGCAGCTGGTTCCACCAGCTTTATGGTCTCTTTGTGCTGCTGCAGCAGAGCTGAGAATCTGGCCCTGGCTCCCTCCCTGCCTCGCCGGGGACTGCATCAGTGTGCTGTTTATTGTTTCTGCCAGATCATTCATGCAGATGTTAATGAATGCTAGACCCAGCTTTGCTCCCAGCAGAGTCCCTTCCACACCTCCCCCTGCCCAGCCCTCTGCACTGGAGTTTCTGTTTACAGTCCTGCAGGGAATTTCCCCTCTGCTGCACGGTCTTCAAGCCACACAGTCCCAATTCCTGCTGCCAGCAGGCTCCCACACCTCCCTGGTTCCTGTAACTGTCCAATGTCACCTCCAGGTGTCTGCGTCCCTCACTGTCACCATTCCTTCTCCACCTCTGGCCTCCCCAAACTAGAGACAAACCAATTCTCCTAGGAGGGAGCAGAGGGCTTGGCCAGTGAAGAAAGTTGCTACAGGTTCTTCCTCTGCACAGATGGAGAAAGCACAGGGAGAAGAAGTCACCAAATGGGAAGAGCAAAACAATTTGTCCAGGAGGACTCGGAGACAACATCTACACTGGTAAGTGGTGCCAGGACCCACCTCCTGGCCCTGCATCCACACCACTGCGTTATCTTCACAGCTCAACAAGGTGGGAAATGCTGGGAATACTTGGGAGAGTGTTAATCAGCCCAGACCAAAATCCCACCAGGGACCTTTGCAGAAGTTTAGCAGCACAAACAACCATGTTCCCAAGCCCCTGGCACTGCGGTGGCTGAGCTGCCCAGAGCCTCGCTGTCCTGGCAGCTGTTGGACATTGGGAAGCCAAAGAGCAAGTCTACCTGCTGCAAAGGGCATTAGTCTCAGGAGGGATTTCTGATCTCTTCTTGATCAAAGCAACATCACTTACCCTTCCAGGAGAGCGATGACGTTCTTTCTGGGCCTCCCAATGTTCGGCCCGTAGAGGTTTGCTCTGGAATAAGTGCGGATAAGCTGCAGCAGGCTTCTCAGCTGGATGTAGTCCTTCCCCAGCTGGCTGCCGTTCACCGAGCGGCCGATCAGGGTCCGATAGTTATTGGGCTCTGGAAAAATAAAAATAGAAAAGCAAGGCTTGCCAGCTACGCTCCTTCATCTGCGCTTCCAGAGAGAGACACACAGCTCACATGCTGTTGCACAGCTTGAGCTCCGCAGAGCTGCCTGCCTGCTCTGCGGAGCAGCAGAAGGAGCCTCTGAGGAGTGGATGAGGGCCATCGCCTGCTCTCCTGTGCCAGCATCTCCTCCTGCGCCCCTTCTGCTGTGTGCTGGGTGAAGGAACTGCACTTTGGTGTCATACTCCTGTCCCTGTAGGGTCCCCACATTCCCCTGGCACTGCAGCCACCATACAAGTCCATAGAGCTGCTGGTCTGGCCACCCCAGGACTGGCTGTGCCCAGCAGCCGGGGCAGAAGCATTTCACGTGCTTAATACCAACTAATGGAAACGTCCATCTAAGGTGCTAACACATGCCAGGTCTGTCTTAGAGATGGTGCTGCCTTATAGCAGGGGCCTTTAAATCCCTCTGAAACTACATTGGCAAAGCATCCTGGGATTTGCAAATATCCTCTTCCAAAAGGGAATATCTTTCTGCTACAGTGAGCTCCATTCCCGTGTCTCTCCTGTTCCCACACTCACCGTTGCCCAGCTCCCAGGAGATGTTGTACTTCTTGCTGGCACTGTACTTCAGCAGGCTGAGGGCATTGGAGCTGTTCCAGGAGTTGTTGGGATTTCGGCGCAAAGCATTCAGTGCAAAGATCAGGTGAAGGCCAGAGCAGTCAGCAAAGTTATAGAGTTTGTCTAGAGACCTGGCTGGGAAGAAACAAAAACCAGTTTGTAATTCAAATGAAACCTAGTTCCAGGGAGGTTCAAATGATCCTGCTGTCCATCAGACCTTGCCTTCTGTGTAGGATGAGCCAGGGTCAAATGCCATCCCCGTGACATCTGTAACCGCAGAAATGCACCTGAGCTTTGAAACCGGGATAGGATTCCAGGTGTGGGCTCATCTCCTTCCAGCATGAAACTTGGATGCCCTCCACCAAGTGTCAGAGCTAGGGGCCATGTTACCAGAGACAAGTGACTTTATAACATCTCTTTTCATCTGCTCTTGGCAAGGAAAGTTCAGCCTTCCCTGTGCTTATCCTGTCTTGCATCTCTTTCAGAGCAGATCCCTGCAGTGCCTGGGGAGCAGAGGAGGAAATCACCACCCCAGGGCTCCCAGCTCACAGCCACCTCTGCTGCACGCCACCACAGCCTGCTATCTGCTCCCACAGCCCCCTGTGCAGTAACCAAGCCCCAGCAACAATCAAGTAGAGCCTCCAAGGTGTGCACCGCGCACCCAGCTAACCTCTGCTCTGCACACAAAGAGAGGAGCTTTGTGCCACCCCTTGAGCTCAGGCAGAGAGGAGGACTCCCTGCCTGGTGACAGCCTGGCCAAGCCCTGCTGCTGGGGTGGCCCTCCTGCCATCCTGGGATCTTCACAGGATTCATGTCCTACCTGCTGGCCCCAAAGCTTCCCAGCTGGCATCTGCCCTGCCGCGCTGTGGCCTTGATGAGCACTGGGGCACCAGCCAGCAGCAGGAGTAAAGAGCAAAGAAAGAGCTGACCCACTATTCAGGGGGGAGTGACATTAGCACAGGGTGCTGCTGGGAGACCCAAAACGCTTAATGCCTTTTTTTGCTTCAATCTTCCCTAAAAATTCAAAAGCAATCAAATGCCTGATGAAGCTAATGCCAGTGTTAGCAGGATATGAACTCACACGACAGCATGAGGAGATTTGGTTAGGGAGTAATTAGATAACTGTGGTGTTTTCAATCATCCCTGCCTGTTGAACTGCATCCCAGGACACTCGGTGAGCTTCCTGAAGCAGCCTCAGAGATGCAACCACTTAACTGTGACGTGCCACCGGGAATGGGGAGGTTCCAGGGGGCTGGGGAGGGCAGACTGAGGGCTCCACTTTCAGAAGAGGGGAAGGAGATGCTGGGGAATTACAGAGTAGGCAGACCAGCTTCAGGTCCCAGAAAAATACTTGGACAAATAATCAAGCTGCTTGTCAGCACTTACAAAATATAAGGAGATGATCAACAGCCACAGGAATGTGTCAAGAACAAATCACACTCAAGCAGTCTACTGACAGGAGAGCAGGGCTTGCGGGCAGCAAAGCAGCCATTTAGGTCTTATACCTTGATGGTTTTTAAGGCTTTTGACACAATTGCATATGACGTTCTCTCTGGCAAGTGAGGTAATCCTGATCTAGACTGAACCGCAGTGAGAAATACGCACACCAAGAGCAGCTACCAGTAATTTGCTGTTAAACTGAAGAGTCTAGGCAGCCTGCTCTGGGTCTCTTTACATATTTCTAATAAAGAGGGGTATAAAGGAGCAGAGGATACATACATCAGACTTGCCATGGCACTAAGGTACCAGCATGCACCACCATGGCCAAGGGAGCTGAAGGGGATGGAGAGGAGGCGACCGCACGCTCAGGGAATTGTTCTAAGCCCAGGGGCGATGCTCTGAGACTCCCTGTGCCCGCACTGCTGGACCAAGGTGCAAGTGAGATGGTGACAGCCAGGAGCTGCTCGCTCCAGTCCCAATAAGCTGCTCACAGCCTGTGTGTCTGCGTTTATTCTGTCGCCTTTCCTGGTCACTGAAAGCCTCGGTGAATACGGAGCCAGCTCTGAGGTCTGAGAATAATAAACTTACTTTAAAAGCAATGTTTTAAGGAGGGTCAAGGAAATAAGCTAACTGAACAGCTAACGTTTAATGGAATGCAGCAAAATTATGGAAAGGAAAAGAAAGTAAAAATGTGGAAAAGAAATTCCTAATCCCTTCACAACCTTTTTCTAAACGCTACTGGCTGTTTGAGTGAAAAGTAGCTGAATTAGATTAATCTAATGTATTCATCCCACTGGTTCAGGCACATTAGCTGTTTTTCTGGATGTTTAGTGAATTAGAGACAGATACAGCTACTTAATACTCATTTACTTCAGACCTCCAGGCAAAAAGCTGCACTTGAAATGAGACTCCTATAAAGAGGATAAGATAGACACCTAAATGACAACATGAAGATAGCAAAAAGGCATTACCTGCAGTTCCCCTGCTAGAAATGAAACCTTTTCACTAGTCCAAAACAGTTGTAGTTCTTAAGTACTACAGGATGGGATTTGGTTCATGTTTAGGAGCCTTTGCAGAGGACTGGGAATTGATTTTCCATGCATCCACCGGAGGAAACAAGCCACCTGTTTATCCCAGCACAGGGCCTGCCACTGTGAAATTGTATTTTCCCCATAACACTTATTTTGTTTCCATGCGCCTGGACACAGAGATGCCACGTGTATTTCATGTTCTGCCACGACCTTCCGAGCTGGAAACCTCAGTGATCAGGGGAGAGAGCTAGGAGAAACACACAGATGTCTGGGGGTTGCTCCTGCAGGTTTCCAGTGGTCTCCCAGCACACAAACCGACCTGCAGACTGCAACGAGGCTGCAAAGAGCAGAAAACTACTAATAAACCTATTTCTGCATCAAACCAAATTGTTAATATGGGCACTCTTGGTATCAAGAGTATCAGGTGTCAAGCCCATTTATCTCCTTTATCCTTGGCAGCCGTCTAAGGATGGTGTGAATCTGGAAGCACCAGTCTCTCCAGTGACTCTAGCAGAACCTTGATGGCCAGTTTGCACAAGATGCCCAACTGTTAGTGGTTAAAGAGCATATCTGATGCCTCCTGAGGTGACCACCTTAAACTGGACAACTCTGTTGCAGACAGCTGCGGTTAGATGAGAAGAGTACTGTCATGGGTGGCTAAGGCACAAAAAGAAGCATATTTAGAAGATGTCAAGTGATGTCCAGCCCTCCATAAGTACAAACAAGGCCAAAAGAGAATGCTATAAATATTTTACTGCCATGACTAGGGATGGCCACATTACTTCTGAGTAATGAGAACATGAGGAATCACAGTATTATTAACAGCTGGCTAAAACTCACTTTGAATTCTAGATAATGGCACTGTTTTTTCTTCATCAAACACAGAAAATCTTCCAGGAATTTAACCTTTCCCCAGCTAACAGATCATTAGGCAAGACTTTCACAAAGCATTTCAATAGAAAAAGCCATTGTCATACCAGAATGAATCTTAATAGAGCAGAACTGGATTTATAAGACGTTTTCCTTGCCCCTTCTCCCCCTCCGCCCGGCGCAGAGATGCACACGCTCAGTGCTCACATGCCACTGAGCTCAGGGAGAAGGAATAAAGCAAAAAAAAAGATGAAAAAAAGGGAAAGAAAAAAAAAAAGTACAAGGATGCAGAGAGTCGGCTTCTGCCACTTACTAATGCTCATGTAGTCGGAGTGAGGCTAACCAAGGCAGCAAGGCTACGTGCTCCGCTCCCTCGCACCCAATGGCAGTGCTTGCTGGCAGGTTTCAGCGGGGATGGGCGCCTGCCTCAGTGGGTTTGGGACTAACAGCAGCCCGTAGGCAGAGACAGAGGCCCCCTGGCCCTGGCACAAAAAAGAAATCAGAAGATATTTGGGCTTTCTCAACCTTTTACATCCTTGGTTGCAGAGGCTTGGACGCATCTGGAGAGTGAACACCGCCCGACGATGCATGGCTGGGTAGCCGCCAGTGAAGATCTGCTCACAGTCCTGCCCTCAGCTGAAGCTCTGCACAGGAATTAAAGATTTTGGCTGTTTTCATGGGTCTCTCGCCCTGCACAGAGGGAGACAAACAATTTGAAAATGCAGGAGAAGGTGTCTGTGAGGCCACAAATGGTGGTGGGACAAGTACGTCCTTTGGGATTCTTTCCCATTTTTCTCCTTTTTATACGAGGCTCAATTTTAAAGTTCTCTAAAAGATGGATGGCACTTAACTCTGTGGTATGCCCACACAAAATCTGAGGCACATTAAAACGTCTCTGGCAGTTCAAAATAATTGGAAAGACTTTCCAGTTGTAGTTACTGAATTAAACATTATAAAAGAGACTTTATAAAGAACATAGTATTGACTGCCATTTGGTAAGAGGGACAGTTCAATAATCTCTGGGTTTGAAAGTCTTCCACATTTTTTGTTCTGCTTCAGGAATTTTGCTTTGGCAGGGTTTAGCACAAAGAGTGGAAATTCATGTGCATGCTGAGACGGAGGCTGAGATCAGCCAGAGGGCTGAGGGGTGGCGGGGCATGGCATGGCGTGCCTGGAGCTTTCGTAACTCTGGGAAGTAAACCAGGAGGACAGGAAAGAAGAGCTTGTTCTCCCTCTATCCCCACCGTTCACCACGTCCATCTCTTGCACGTACATCGCGTGCCAGCGCCAAGGAGGACGGGGCGAGAGCTGAGTGCGGAGCGGGCAGCACACACCGCACTCCCCAGATCTGCAGGTTAGCTGAGAGACCAAGCAAATGCACAACAGATGAACGCTTCTGTTGATAAAGCAAAGAAATGCAGTTCTAGAAATAATGATTTCAACTAATCATGGGTATTGCTCGACTCTGCATTCCCCATTAATTCTGATCAATACCTGGAGCGTCCCTGCAAACAGCTCCTGGTGCCAGCACCGAAGCCAGCAGCATCTCCTGCTCCTTGAGGACCCCACACGAGATAGCAGAGGGAAGGGGTTGGGAAAGACCTGGCAAAGAGCAAAGAGAAGCCCAAAGAGAGCTTTGCAGGGAGGGGGCAGAAAGGGTGGTACAGAGTGTTCAGACAGGAGATGAGTAAGATCGCTGGCGAGCGCAACGGATGGAAAAAGAGAGGTATTTCCCACTTACAGAAGAACAAGTGGGTACATGGAAAATTTATTTACAAACAAATTGCCACTATA